ACCTGGAAGTCTCATGTCTGCATAAGGGAATGGGAATGATTGGAAACAAATGGCATAAATAATGTTATTCTGTTGGCACCTACCCATGTGGCTGACTAGGGACATGAGAGGGCATGTAGGTGTTATAAACCTGCTGTGATACCTCAGATCCAGGAATTGCTGAAAAAATAGCTAAAGTTAGAAAAGGAAAATCTGCAAAATATAGCCATGTGTAAAATAGGCATCATGCTGTGCTTAATCTGAGGTGCTGCTTTTAGCAGCAGTTCCATATTGGTGGAGCCATAAAACTGTTCCAGTTGTACTGAAAAGGTAAAGATTCCTAATAGAAAATAAGTGGATTTTGATGAACATACTGGGTTTTTTTCCTAAATGAAAATGAGTTGATCACATAATTTTTAGTAAATATAATACTCAGTTAAATGACTTCTCAGTAATTTACACATAAATACATGTGTGTATGAAAACTTAGCAAGGAATTTCTTCCTCAGCATTTTAAGCAAAGTACTGGAATGTTTTTCATTCACTTAAATAATGAAGAGGAAGAGCTCTGCAAGCCACTGCCACTGAAGTGCTCTCAAAGTGCATTACAGAAAGAGGATGCTGCTTACCACAAGGGAGTTGACAAATGCAAATTTTCTGAGGAATGCGTATCGTATGTTTGCTGGCATAGGAGGTTACTATTTCCTGGATTTGTTTTAGTTTCCATTTTTGGTGGTGGCAGTTTCCCTGGTGGTAATCTTACTGATGCCTAGGTCCTAGATGTCAGAGTTTTATTAATACTGAGAAGTCTCGAGGATGGAGTGATCTGATATTGTTCTGTGGTACTGATGTGTTGTTTTAAAATGGGGGCAGTTAGTTCACTTTTCCTGAATGTAGTGGGGAAAACTGTAGTTTTGCAGAACTGGTATGTCCTAGGGAGCACTGACTGGTGATTAGTCCCAATTTGGCAGGTGCATTAATACTTTTGTAGTGGAGGCGTGGGTCCCATGAGTGATGGGGTTTCTCATGTGGAGCTGTTCTCTCCTGTTCCTGGGGCTATTTGGTAGCTGTTGAACTTAAGGAAAAAGCAGAGACCACAGCATATATTTACTATAAAATAAAACTGTGCACAGTTAACAGAAATTTTAGGACTAGTTTAAGAAGTGACAGAACTTGCATTTAGCTCTGTGGTTTGAATTTTTCAAGATCACTCCTGGCTTCTGTAGATGAGAATGTGTCCTGCAACAGATCAGTGTGTGACAATGAGTTACCATTGTACTCATAGTGAGAGACAACTGACTCCTAGTAAATAAATAATTTTTTTACAGAATTACTTAATATAAGTGATTCCTTTTGAAAACAAAACAGCTTGGTTAAATTTTCTTATCCTGTACTACATGTGTCATGGAAGAGGCTTACAGCATAATTTCTAAAGTTATTAATTAAGAAGTACATAGTGTTGAGGCTAAATAAATGCATAAATCTGGAGAAAATATATTCTTATATTATGCCTTTCTAATGGGAAGCTTTCTAGCTTGGGAGGATGTCTTTGAATTTACCTTTTTTCACAAAACAAATTTTCTGTCAAAGTACCAAATTATTAAAAACAACTCTTTTTGTTAAACAAAAATATTATTTAATAGATACATTTTCAGTAGATAGTGATGCATTTTTACAAGCAGTCATTTACCTCTGGTTTTAAACATTAGATTTATTTAAGTAGTAGTAGTAAATTTTTAGGATGTTAAGGATGGTCATTTTGCAGTATTTTGTGTCTTGTTACTATTGCAAGTCTATTTGTCCTAATTGGTGCTTATGAAATCAGTCCTTGCTGGTAGGATACCAGCTTATGGGCAGGGTCAGAGTCGTTACCTGATTCACCTTTCAGAAGCAATTTAAATTGAATGGCTAATGCTGTTTTGTTTCTAAATTTTGCTCCTAAGTCTGTTGTATTAGATAGTCATTGCAATAATAAGCTTTTTGATACTGTGGGCAGAAATGTAACCACCATTTGTTTAATGAAAAATACCGAATTATTTTTATTTGTGATTTTTTATGAGTTTTCTTGCACAGGAAATTTTGCTAGGTTGGGTTAATTTTGAGGAAAGAACATGCTGTTTGGGGACTGACATTTTAAAGATGGTGCATAGTTCAGCTTTGTGTGCAGCTTGTATTTGGCATAGGTTAGCTAGCCATATGTGAAATAGAATTGTGTTAGTAGAAAAAATCTTTTTAATCACAAAGATAAATCAAACCAGATGGTCCAGATTTTTTTTCCTTGTGAATGCATTTGCTTAGTCCACAATCTTCAAGTATTGGGAAGAAGGATTTGCCTCATCTTTGTCTTTCTTACTGTGAAATTCTGAGGTTTTACTTTAGTCTTCTACACATGAGTGATCAGTTCTAGAAGATTTTAGTGATAATTAATTCTGAATCAGAATGACTTCCAGTTACACTTTCTGTTAACTGCTATTATTTGTGCTTCCTTTTCTGAGAAGATAAGGAGGTGACTTTTTTCCTAGGTATTATTAGCCAATGTTTCATCACAGTTGGGGAATTCTGTAAGGCTTTACCAGACATACATGTCTGGTATGAAAATACAGACTTTAGCTTATGTTTAACAGAGCATGCCATGCTGTTTCTCAAATAGCCTACGATTCTTCCAGTGTGATATTCTCTTGTTGATTTATATTAGGCCTTGTTTTATTAAGCAGGTTTAAACACTGAAGCATTACTTTACAAGCAAACCACTTTTTGTCAAGTGCGAGTAGGGGTTTGTGGTATTGATGTGCTGTTACTATGGCTGATAATTGGAGGTTTTAAAATGATTTATGATCTTGCTTTAGGGAAGATTTAGTGCAGAATATAAAGGTCACAATTGCATTGCAGAGAAACTGGGCCCATTATTTTTCTCAGTGAAGACTGGACGAGCAGAGTGGAAGAAAAATTCTGATATCATTCATGATTTGGGTGGAAAATGGGCAAGAAAATTGAAATTGCTGTCAGCTGGGAATCATAGTTTTGTAGCATCCAGGGGATTGTAACATATTCACTGAAAATTCAAGCAACTACATGTTCCTTTCTTTTTGTATAGGGTTATAAGGAGGCTGTCAGTGCCCTGCATGACTCCGGTCTTGCACTAAGTTTTATGGTGTATCAGTGAACCGGCCACTTGCTATTGGAGATGGTTGTGGAAAAGAGTTCTTGAGCCAGTGGTGTACTGTCACGTGCTTAAAAACATACTTGCAGCCTAGAGGAATGTACTCTGCTTAGAATCATTCCTTATACAGATACCAAGACATAGAATTTATTTCTATCTCTTTCTCTTCAGCATCCAATAAAGAAAAAAACGCTGTGCATTCCTGCACTGGAAAACTAGACAAGTGTTGATACACATAGCAGAATTTGTCCAGATAGGAAACACAGCCTAGTGAAGTTTAAATATGATTTATTAAACTCAACAGCCCCCAATGCTAGAGCTGTTATTCAGACCAGCATGTAAACATTCTGAAATTACTTCTGTAGGTACTTCGGTCTTGAATTTGATCTAAAACATGCGGGAAGAGCTATAAAATATAGACATTATGAACTCTCATAAAAGGAGAGGTTTTAAATTGAATTCTTTGGCTACTGGCCATGTTTCCATTCTCCTGGCTGAATGAGGGCACTGGTGTGGAAGGATACCTTATATAGATGAGAAAATTTAAATTTGTGTATAGCAGTTTTAATAAGAGATTCAGATAGTTAATCAGAACACTGCTACACCTTGAGCCCAGAACAGAACCCCTGGGCAAGTGAAAAATACTGTTTCAAGTGACGTTTCAGTTCACTTTCTATTCCAAGCTTATCTAGTAAAATCACATTTCCCTCCTATCACTTTAACTTTGTCATGTATCTAGTGAGATTTCTTCTAGAGGAATTTTACTTATTTATATGATTTTTTTTTCTTTTTTGCCACCTCTCTGAGGCAGTACAAAAAGAGGACTGTTGTCCAGTCTTCTAGACATTTTCATTGCTTCTTAAATTTGCCTCATGAACATTCTACCATTGTCTTGCTAAATCATTCTCTTTTTCCTTATTGTTTTCAAGTAATCTTTTCTGTGTCCTGTAAGCACACAGTGTCATCGTGATTTGACTTACCCTTAAAATATTCTTCTGCAAAACTGAAATCATAGTTCATCAAATATTCTATAGCAAGTAATCCATGGTGAAGCATTTATCTTCCTCTTTTATGTCCTGATACAGAAAAGGGCTTAATCCTTTATTTAGTATTAAGCCAGAGAAACTGCATTTGTATTTCTCCGTGTTGAGGTTCTACTCAAACTCCATGTCTGATTTTACCATTGTCTTCCTTGCACCCACTTCCAGTTTTCAGTGGGCAACTTCACCTAATACATTCAGTTTTCTGTGTTCTGTATTGCTGTTCTTGTTTGTTCTATAGTTTGTGTATCTCTGACACTGTAAAAATAATGTTCTCAAAGACTATTGAAAAATACATTTATTGCAGAATGAAGAAATTAGTATTTTTATGGAGCATTTTTAGCTGTACTGTAGTTTGTGCATTGAAGTTCAAAATCAGAGGGTGAAAATCCATTGGAGCAGCTTTGCTTACAGCTGGAAAAGTTGCAGTTAGTGTGACTATACCGGTGGACTGAATTGTTTAGTTTCCCCATTTATGAAAGGTTCTTCCTTTCTGTCCCAGTCTGTTGTGTTTTGCCCTTTTATATCAATACTCCTACAAGTGATTCCTTACTAGGTTGAAAACTAATCACCTGTCTGGCATCTGTGGCAGAGATCTGTGTTTTCTCTCCTAACAAAGCTTTGCTGCTCTTCCCAGAGGTGTGAGCTCTTTCCTTTTCACCAGAAGGGAATGCAGCACCCAATGTGTACGACAGGAAGATTTCAGAGTTGACCTAAAAGCTAGTTTGCATTCTTGTTTGGAGCCTGAGCAGTCTAGTGAACACTAGCATAGTGTTTATTTGCCTGGTTTCACCATCATTTCTTCACCCTTTTACTTGCAGATTGGTCACCTCCTCCTGAGAGAGTCAGAGCAATGTCCTACGTTTTTGTGAACGACTCCTCCCAGACAAACGTGCCGCTGCTGCAGGCTTGTATTGAGGGAGATTTTAACTATTCCAAACGACTCCTGGAGAGTGGCTTTGACCCAAACATTCGTGACAGCCGAGGCCGAACTGGCCTCCACCTGGCTGCAGCCAGAGGAAATGTAGACATCTGTCAGCTCTTGCATAAATTTGGTGCTGACCTGCTGGCCACTGATTACCAGGGTAACACAGCCCTGCACCTGTGTGGGCATGTCGATACCATCCAGTTCCTGGTTTCTAATGGACTTAAAATTGATATTTGGTAAGTCATTTTTTACAGTGCATATTTTATAATACATTAGTCTTCTGTCACCAGAGCCTTGCATATAAATCTGCTGTTGCTGAAATGCTGTATTTGGTGCAATTCTACTTTACAAAGATACCACTTAATTAAAAAAAAAAAAAAAAACAAAAACAAAAACACAAAAAAACCCACAAACAAACAAAAAAGGCAGCAAAACAGTAAGAGGGCACTTCTGCTAGTCTGTGCAACAAGCAAAGAAAATGTAAATAGCTGCTGCTGGTGTGAGCTGCTGTATCTAATTGTGCCTCATTGATGACATTGCTGCCCTGGTTTGGCCAGACAACCAGGTGTGGGTGGTTGGCACCAAAGAAAAAATCACATTGACTACTTTAAAAGAATTTCTCCACCCCATTTTCTATTGTGGTACTATATAAGACAAAGAAAATACAGTATATGTGTGTGTCAGTTCATTCCCATACTCTTCTGGTAACAATGCTTCCTTTCAGTGTTTTTGCCCTCCCTCAAAGTCTGTGACTCAGAATACTGTATATTCTTTCCTTCTGGCTTCCAGCAGCTGTCAGATGCCAGTGCTCAGATGGAAGCTCTCAAGCTGCAAAATAACTAGCTGTTTCATTCCTGTGCTGAATTACTTTGTTTGTGGAACTTTCTGCATATTCACAACGTGTGCAAAAGCCAGGAGTTATGTCAAAATCTTTGAGTTTTTAAATCTGTCCCTTTTTCACCTGTCCCTCATTAGTGTTTTCAACTCAGCAAAACTAGTTATTGGTAGACCAGATTATTTATGGGTTGTGGGTTGGGATTTTTTTCCCCTCATTTCAAACAGCTCTGGTGGAAATTCCTGGTCTAAAGGCAGCTCTGGACCTATTCAGTATTATTTTAATAGCAGCAGAGGGACCATCTGTATTTTATTTCATTTTTGCCTCATGTCCTAATACCCTCATGGAAAGGGAGCTATTAGGAGCCAGATTGCACAATTCTTTCTTGAAATTAAGCTTAAACTTGAACATTGTCATAAATCTACTGTTGGTTTTTGTTTTTTTTTTTTCTTTTGCTGTAACACCCAGAGATTCCAATTAGATTAGTCCTAAGAATTTGATTGTATTGGAGGGGGAAAAGAGTTGTGCAATTTCAAACCTAAATACACTGATTTTCCTGTATAACCAATTGTGCTGTAACTTGGATAGATTGGAATTTATTACTGTCTGATAAAACAGAAAATAGTTCTGAGGACTTACTAGATTGTAATATGTTATGCTGAGTTGACTTGTTACAAAATTTCTGTGTTAAAATTTTCTTATGTCTTTTTGTGGGCTTGTTTTAGCAACCACCAAGGTGCAACACCACTTGTTCTTGCCAAACGAAGGGGTGTGAATAAAGATGTGATTAGACTGCTGGAATCTTTAGAGGAGCAGGAGGTGAAAGGATTTAACAGAGGAGCTCACTCAAAGCTGGAGACAATGCAGACAGCTGAAAGCGAAAGGTATTTACCAAACAAAAACCATTACCAGGAGAAATAATGTTTATGGCTTTTAGATTTTTGGGATTGACTTGATTGTTTATTCCTCAAAACAGATAATATCAAATTTGACCTGACATTATCAAAGAAAATCAAAATTGAGTGTTAAATTTTGGAAAAATCTCTTTAAACAGATCCAATGTAAAAAAGAAAAAGGAACTTCTACTGAGATTTTAATTTTATGGTAAAATTAAAAAAAAAATAATTTTCCATTTGGAGTGCCAAACACAAATATTCTACCATCTACCACAAAGCCAAGTGGGAAATAGTGTGAAATGCAAAATGGCATAGTATCACAGGCTAACCTGACATGCTTTTGATAATTTTCTATGCAAAAAAAGGGGGTGGGAGACTTTTTATCCATCTTAACTTGAATAAAGGATTTTATATGGTGTAGTATCTAAAAATTCTATTGTTAGCAGTCCTGGAAAAGATGGAAAAAAAGAATTTTTTGGTGACTAATGAGATAGTTAATGCAGAATGAGGATTTCGAGAAAATTCCTGACCAATTCAGGGAAATTGTTGGGTTAGAGGGAAGTTAGTAATGAATTCCTAAAAGTCTGGTTCTGGGATGGAAGTTAGTAATGAATTCCTAAAAGTATGGTTCTGGGACTGTGCTTACTTAGAATTTTCTTAAATAAAAAAGCAAAAGCATGAGAAGTAGAGGCATGTTAGTGATACCAAGAAGTGAGATACAGGCAACCTTGAGGAAAATTGGGGTGGCAAAGACAAAACCTGGGGTTACAAGAGAGAGGAAATCAATAGTAATAAATTGTGATTCTGTAGCACAAAATGCAACTGTAATTACTGAAAACTATATGCCATAACATAAAAGTTTCTCAGTGGAAAACAAATATATAAGGAGAACAGGCTTGATGCATTAGTCAGTTCCAGGAGTTGTTTGTGCTATCCTGAAAAATGCAGTGAAGTCCTACAAACCATGAAACAAGACATTTTCACTACATAAAGAAAGCTGTCAGTCCTGTTGTATAAAGCAATGGTGACTTCTGCTCTCTAGTATGTCTTATTATGCTGTTTACCCTCTTCAAAAAAACTGTGGTTTTTTTGATATTGTCTAATGATGACCATGAACTATGACTACTGGACCATTATATCACAAAAGACAGGGAGTTTTGTCATATAACTGTTGCTTGGTTTATGTGAAAATGTAGACAGGCTGAACTGTAAACAGAAAAGAAGCTGTATAGATGGAGTGAGATCTAAGCTGAGATCAAGCTGAGAAAAGGTGAAACCAACAAAGCTGCAGAAATAACACCCAATACTCCCATGAAGTTCTTTCTTGTGCATCAGGTGACCTTACCTGTCAGAGAGACTGTTCTAAGCCTTGAAACAGAAAGTCAATTTTATTTTCAAATTTATGTGGTTGTACATTGTAAGAATTAGTGCATATTACCTTTCAGACTTCACTAACTTTCAGTAAAAGTTTCTTGACACACAGAAATGCACTTAGGCTGATTTTGTTTAAACATACAGACAAACAGCTCAGCCCCGTTTAAATTTTGGGTTTTGATTTGATGGTGTCCCTTTAACAAACATAACTTCCTTTCTGTTATTTGACCTTCATAAATGTTATATTGTTTGCTTTGGCCAGGAAGTCAGCAACTCTCCTTGGGGACAGGCACAGAGACATAAACAGTGCACTACCCAGCTTGTTTGGGAGCATGTTTAAAATGTCTGAAATACATTATTTTTAAAGTAACAAATAGCAGATGCCTACAGGAGCCAAAGCAAATGAGCTTGTGTGCTGTTTGCTTTGTAAATAAATAATGTCTTTTTACCAGTTGGCTTTTCAGACCTCCAGTTTCACTTATCCCTCTTTGTACTATTTTCACATTTTAGGGACACTTAATGTCTTCTGTCCTCTGCCCTCTGAACTCTTACATTATGAATGAGCCTATGGAGAAATAACACTCTTTCTAAAAACAGCCTCTGGCTTCAGTTTTCTGCTCCTTGTTACAGGCAGTTGCTGCTGCTCGGGCAGCAGAGGCCAGAGCTCATTTCCCAAGTCAAATTTGGTTTTGCTTGCTTTGCCCTCCCGCGGGTGAGGGGTGGCCCTGCTGGCAGGAGGCAGAGCTCCCTCTGTCCCTCTCTCACACAGACATCTGTCCTTCTGCACAGCCCAGCAGGACCTGTGGCTGTGCCACAAGCGTGTCTAAATGTGAACTCCCACCTGCTGCTGGACACAGAACATCTGTCTGAGCTGTGTGGCACAAACTCTTCTCTTGTTTGACATGTTGCTGCATTACCAGTTTTTATGCAGCTCTAATTTAAGAAAAAAATATATTGAATAACATTGGTTTTAACTGGGTCATAATATAAAATAGTAAAAATGTTCTCTCTGTACCCTTTTTAATGAGCAGGCATGTGACCTTTCCACTTAAATTGCATTGCACCTTTATTTAACCTCTCTGTGGTTATGTATTAACTAGTTAGTACTTACTGAGTAAGAAATTCTGCACAAAGGGCTGTCTTTTACTAAACCCTTTGTTTTGCTTGGGAAATCATAATAAGCAAGGAAGATTACTAAATCCTGCACCTGTGGGTAAGCTAAAATAGCTTTACAGCATGGTAAATATTTTAAAAAACAAAAATACAGGCTGTTTAATAGGCAGTTCCTGAAATCTTATGCACATGATGCTGCAATACTTGAGCAAGCTGTGGGAGTTCAGGCTAATTGTTCTTCAGTGATTATACTTCCTGAGAAAAAATACCATATGAATAGTGTGAAGTTTTCCCATGGTGTAATCTTAGAAGAGAGCTTTGTGAATGAGACTTTTCTGATAACCATCATTTTTCAATTTATTTCTGTCATGAAGAACAGCAGCTTTCCTACAATTAGTTGTGACTTGGAAATTACTTTTCCTTTATTTTTTAAACTTTTTATTATTAGTCTTGTAAGAAATATCTAGGAATATGGTAATGGAAAGCAGTTATAAGGGAGGAAAAGCTTTTTTTTTTTTTGCTTACATTCTGCTATAGACATCATTGAATATGTGTTTGATTCTACCATTTCCTTTCTGTGGTTGTCAGGGCCTGATCCTGTAAACACCCATGTATGTAATTTCACTCAAGTAATAAGCAGTAAGACTGTGCAGATTGCCAAAATTTTAAGTGAAGTCAGGCTATGCAAGGGCTTTCCTATTCTTCATGAGATTCTTCATAAGCAACAGATAGTTTCCTGTTACAATTGTGAAACCAGCAAAATTGGGAGAATTACATGAGAAGTGCAGGATTTTGAGACAACTTAGATCTTTCCTAATGGTGATCAATTGTCAAGAAGACTGCCTCTCTCAGATTTTATATTTGTTTTTCATTAAAAGTGAGAATTCCACTCCCTAATTTATTGTCTGACAATTTAAGGAGGCCTGATGGATTGGTAGTGGAATGCTAAAACATCAAAGCACTCACTAAACACCATATGGCAGAAAACAGCAGTGCCAACTTGCTCAGAAAGTTTCTGAATTTCTTGTTATCCAAAGTTATTGTTTTCTGTGATTTTTTTAATGCTTTTTTACAAGAGGCATGTAACAAAGATATCCAGGAGAGTAGTAAAGGTCACTGCAGAACCCAGCATCAATTAATATTCATTAAAGCTTCCATTTTATTAATCAGAGTTTATTTTTAGTCCTTATTTGTTTTATTAACAAATAATGTGTGCCCCTTGAGGTCTTAACTTATGCCTGAGGTCTTAACTTATGCCTGATTATATTTTACTAAGCCATATTTAGTAGGAATTGTGGAGACTGACCTTTGAAGGCCTCTGGGTAGCAGGCCTGAAAATTCAGTGCAGTTATACATACACAAATATCATTCTCTTTGCACAGGTTAATAAAATGTCCTTTCAGCTAAAATAAGTTTAGAATTAAAAGTGTTTTTCTGATGTGATTTGTCTTGATTTAGCAGAAGCAATGCTATAAATCAGTGGCGGGGGGTTTAATTTTTCATCTCGAATGTTTCAGATGCCCTTAGTGGGATTAGTGTCATCCTTACAGCTGCATTCTTTTACTCTGATGTATTTTTAACTTTAATCCTTTGTAGTGCAATGGAAAGCCATTCCCTTCTTAATCCAAACCTCCAGCAAGGTGAAGGAGTTCTTTCCAGTTTCCGCACAACATGGCAGGAGTTTGTGGAAGACCTGGGCTTCTGGAGGGTGCTGCTCCTCATCATTGTCATCGCTCTCCTGTCCCTTGGAATAGCTTATTATGTTAGTGGGGTGCTTCCTTTTGTAGAAAACCAGCCTGAACTGGTGCACTGAAGCAAATGCAAAGAAGTACAGTGTCCTTTTTCCTCTTCTAATCTAATCTTGTTTTGAGCTTGGAATTATTGGCTTGGTGCAGACAGTGGCAGCTGTATATACTGTTTGCCTTTAGTACTTACTATTAACTCCTTTGAAAGAGGGATTAATTAATTTCAAGTAAAACACTGATTTCTAAAGCATTCCTAAGATCCTCTGACTTACCTTGACTTGCAAGCAAGATGTGAAGATAGACCTCTCTGATAAAACATTGTGATTAGAAAAGGCTTTTCATTATGAATATTAAATTCCTGCATATGAAAAATATGTCCAAGTACAGAACCACATTTAGTTTATTTTTGCTATGAAGAGAGGTAAATCTATTGTTGGATTTTTTGTAAGTGCTTCAGTTGAAATAAAAATACTCTTAGAAGTCCCCCTCAAGAAGTCTCAATAATGTAATAACACTTTCTGATATATAGATGGTGATAAGCTGCGACTCCATAGTTATTTTAATGTCTCTCCATAGTTTCCTATCTCCTAGTTTACAAAAAGAATGAGAAATAGTTCGAGTTTTACTATGTCTTTGTTGTATAGATCACTCCTTTATTTATTAGGTTAATGTAATGTGTCTTCCCCAGATGAATTTAATATTGTTAATACCTGCCTGAAGTAAAATTTGTAGAATAAAACTGTTTGTTGTGCTTAGGAAGAGGACTTGGGCTGAAAATTTTGCATTTTTGTTGAAAAGTTGCTAAGCAAACTTTCTTTGTAAGGGTAATTAAAAAGTGATTTAGGTGTCTGCCATGTATATAATAATTCTGTAAGGTCATTGTGAAATATATCATGAAGGATAACCTTTTCGTCCTCCCGTAAGGATCAGACTGAACCATGTAATTGTGTTCTCATGTTTGTGGAGACAACTTGATGGAATAGTATTCCTTTCTAGAACTGTTTTCCATTTAACTTGTTTTCAGACAGAACTTACAGGCTTATGAATTATTTTCTGAGTATGCAGAATAAAGGTGTTTAAAATACTAATATTTAGGAACATTGTATGAAATGAAATCTTGATCCATTCTGTACTTTGCTGTGAAACCCTTTGTTGTAAATGACTTAGGGATATGAATCCATTAGATATTCCTTTATGAAGGCTGGAAAGGTATTGCATAATAAGAGGGAGATTTTCAAAGAAAGTGGATTCTCTCTTCCCATGCTGATTAGACATCTAATTCTCCTTTGCCATTGCCTTGCAAATCCCAAACAAAATGAATTCTGTGAGCCGAAGGAATCAATTTTTATATTTTTTAATTAGCCCCTCCTCATTTGTTACTAAATAACATAAAACATTTATTGTACATTTAAATGTAGCCTCTAATTAGCCCCTCCTCATTTGTTACTAAATAAAACATTTATTGTACATTTAAATGTAACCTACGTGGTTCTGTTCTGGTACCATGTATATTTTTCTTTCTGGTTTATTGGTTTGAATGGAGGGGGTTGTTGTCTTTGTTTTGATGTGTGATCTGGGTTTCGCTGGAGCTGGGCCCCATTCTAAATTGAATATGAATAAATCTTGATTTCAATTCTTAACTTAGACTTTAATGACACAATGCTTTTTTAACAGCACAATGCTGCAGAAAAGAAAACATCTTAAAAAAACCAAAAAATGAGAACATATTCTTCTTCTGAGTATTTCACTTATGGTGCCATTGTTCATGAAGATAAATATAAACTCATCATATACCTAAATTACATTTACTTGTCTAAATAAGTACATTTCTGTTAATAATACCATGCATCTTGATTAATGGCATTGTCTTTCATTATGTATTATCTGCATAATTTGTAATTGTATTCTCAGTATGGGTGAATGCCACAAATAAATACATGTAGTAAATATGTTTTGGTTTATTATTACATTAGTGCAGCAGTAATGATGCTACCCCATTTTGCTAAGTTTGTTGTGCATTGATAATGAGTATTTCAGAAGTGGGGAACTTCCCTACACAAGAAATGGCAACCATGCAGCTGCTATAAATGAGATTTTAGAGCACAGGTTCTTTAGCTTTGCCTCTTTTGTTTTCAGTGTTGTTGCTGAATTAAAAATGCTGTCTGGCTGTCTCTCTTCCCTGAGATTTCAAGTATTCACCATGTCTGGAGGCCTCTCAGAATTTAAGATTACCTATGAGGAGGAACAAAACATAACCAAGAAAACAAAGCTTGAGCCTTAAGTAGCCTTTCCTATTTCACTGCGTGCATAAGCAGACGTGCAGGAACTACACATTGAAAAGGTATGAAAAAATGTGTTTGAAATTAAGATATTTCATGTTTTAAACCAGAAGGAAATCCAAAGCACTGTTTGAGCTTCACTGTGTAATGAGTGCTGCTCCTTTAAATAAGGACATGATAAATGTCTGATAGAAGTAGAGTTTGTTCTGTATATACCTCTGTTACTGTAAAAGGTCTGCTGTGTCTTTCAATATATCTGCAAACACTAATGTCTTCCTTTTCAAAGGCTGCTTCTAAAGAATGAATTTACCTCTGTAACTTTAACTTACTTGTCATGGAGGATTCTGCTATTTCAGTATAAAGACTTGGATTGTCTGTAGGTAAATAAGATTTCTTTTATTTATTATTGCAGTGATGTCTCAGTACCTTGATTCAGATACTCTTGTGCCAGGCAACACAAAATTCAGCTGAAGTGCTTAAACATTATTAAGATAACAGGTACATCATTCTATCCTGCAAGTGCAGGTACAGAATTATCCCTGCTGTCACCAGAAATTAATTTAATGATGTTAATACAATTCAAGATTAGTCACTCTTTAAATCCAAAACAGATTGTTGTCTCAAGCTGTTGTTAGACTAATGAGCTCAAATGGAATAAGGAATTGAGAGGGAAAACAAACAGCTATGAAGAGATTTCTTTTTCCAGTGACATGAAACAACTTGGTGGACGAGGTAGTGCAAGGTAAACTGGAGTGTAAAAAGGATAGACACAGGCTCCTGTGCAGTGGGCTGTCCTGGTGCTCACATTTATCCCACGGCAAGGTCACACCTATCTTACCTCACAGTAACTCCTTCACCTACCACATCTCTTTGTCTTCAAGGGCTCTGTTTTCACTCATATTGGTAATTTGCTTTGTAGAAGGGGATGTTCTGTTGGCTGTCACGAGTAGATACTGTTTCTGGCTGCCACAATACAACAGATAGTAAATTACTGGATGTGATCTAGCACTGTGGGGCTTTTCTTCATTAAAACCTCCAGGGGAAAAAGAACATGGTTTCACTTTGAAATATTAAAATATAAGATCTCAGTAGTTTCTGGGTCTTCAGCTGATTGGGAGTTTGGTTTTATCATGAGTCATTGAATATCTAGGGCTGTTTTTATTAAATAAGTAAAAATCATCAGCTCTGGCTAGTTAGCTAGGTAGTTCTTTTTCTAGTCAAAATATATTTGGTCATAATTACTTAGAGAAATGCAAATTAAGTAATTTATTCAGAAGTACAAATTGCAAGTGATGACTTCCCTGAAAACACAAAAAAGGCTAATATTGACTGATGTCATATTCAGGATTTTCAAAAGTCTAGCATATATTTAAATGTTACCCCAAGCTGATGTTCAACAGAACTGATAACTTCCTCAGCTGACCCACAAAGTAACTGGTTTCTGGAGTTGTTCCTGCTTCTGAAGTCAGGTCTTTATTAAATTCATATTGGAATTGGTGGTTAAAATAAGTCTTCGATGATGTGAGAATTAGGTCAGAATGCTTTTCCTTCATTCATTGTTCTTTTTTTACATTTCAGCATTAATCATTGTAGATTGGTTACTTGCCATGCACTTTGTAAAATTTCCTCAGTGATCCAAAGTGTTACAAAAAATGTTGCCAGTTGTTCCTGCACTTTTCTTCTGTGGTGTTGCAGCTTTCTAGAAGAAGTCAAACGTCATTGTACAGTTTCATAACCTGCAGTTTTCTGTGAACTCTAAGTGGTGAAATACTGTTGAACATGAATCCTGAATCTGTATTCATATTATTAAATTAATTTCTGGTGACAACAGAGATAATTCTGGACATGCACTTGCAGAGTATTATGATGTGCCCGTTATCTTAATAATATTAAGTACTTCAGCTGAATTTTGTGTTGCCTGGCATTTTTGTACTGCTCTTAACAAATGCTTCGAGGAGAGAACGCTTTTAAAATGCACAGTATTAGGGAACAAATGCAACTAATTGGTAGTTCTTTGCTATTTATTGCTGGGAAGTGAAGTGTTCCCAGGGTCATGCTGCCAGAGAAATCTGAGATGAAGTCCCTGACTGACAGTGATCCGGTGTGTCTGTGCTCTTACGCAAAGCAGGATGAGTGCTCTGGTGCTGCAGCTGAGCAGGCTGTGTGTGCAGAACCCTGAAAAATGTGTCTCTGCTGTAGGCATTTGTAGTTTGTAATTCATCCTTGTAACTAAGCATTGAGCAACTGGTATTTCCTAATGGCTGGGATGAGACAAAACTGTTGTTCTTCATAAATGCCGAGGGAACGGGGAATCTACTGGAAATTGCCATAACTAAAAAGCAACAAATTAGAGTATCTTATGAAGTCAAAGTGTGAACAAGTCATAACCATGGCTTCCAGTGATACCTTCTTTCCATTTGTGATTTTAAACTACCTTCTGGATAAGGAAAAAAATGGGGAGAGAGACCTTTGGAACAGAATTTGTTGTGTGCAATGTGTGGCTTGCAGAAACTAGGAGGGAAGTGACTGCAGTGAGCCAAGAGCAGCACGGCAGGCAGAGCAGTGTGATACCTTCATGAATCACTGCTTAAAGGCCAATCCCAGCCCTTGTAAGCAGTGTGAGGAGTGACCAGTAATAGCTTCCTAGCAGGAGAAGGATTTCACTGGCTTGTGATTACACCATCCCACAGGGGTGGCCATGCCGCCCTGCAACCTGAGCTGCCCCTTCTTGACTTTCAACGTCTGCAGCGCTGCTATTTCAGACAACTGCGTGTTTGAATGTGTGCCTACATTAACAGCTGCTCGTGTGGAAGCTGAACTGTTCCTCTTACACAAGGATCCCTCGGCACATAGGTTAGCAAAAGAAGTTTTACCAAATGTGAACAGAAGCTCTTTGTAAAACATTAAATATTTCTGGTGTATTAAGTTATGTTTATCTAAATATCAGAAGGCAGGAATCCAGATGAAGGATCAAGTATGTGCAATAACATCTCATTTTCCTTTGCCAAATAAAAAAGAACAGATAACATTCTCTTAACACGAAGCAAGAAGATCACAGTAAATTTGTTTTGATCTGTAGAATATGAATTCCTTAATGAGCCAAATTCCTTAGTATGAGGGGTTTTTCAAAGAAATACTCTTGCAGGTAATTTTTCTAAAAGAAAAGCTGACATAGCCTTGCAGGGGTGTGAAGTTAGTAATGTTTAAAGGCTGTCTGGCTTAATGAAGTGTGCATACTGCAAACTAGGTAATAGAGTGGGTTTTTGCTAGGATGTAAGATTGAAATGCCATATGTTCATCCTCATATTGTTGTCTAACTGCAAGCTGAACATCTGGCATGGTTTGTTTGGCTACAGATATTTTCAGACAAAAATGAAGTGTGTAGATATCAATAGGTTTCAGCTGGCAAGACCAGTTTCTGTAGATGACATGAAGAATAATGAAGTATCCTACTGAAAGTCATGACAGCTTGTATGTGGACTGCACAATCCTGCCAGCTGTGTTTCTTACAGAACTGGTGGTTTTCCCATTTATGGTACTGGTTTGAACCCTTGTGTCAGTGAACACCAGTGGTGTACACAGGACTTGAACTGAAGGCCATTCTCAAAGTTTTTAATTATAATAGAAGTCAAAGCTCTATTCTTTATTTCAAAGTTCAAGGAACTTTTTGGGTTTTTTTAGTTTACTAGAACTGCAGCCTGCAAATGTGCACAGATAAT